TTTACAGCCGCGGGCGGAAGCGCCAGCGGCGGCGGGTACTGGTGGGGATACGCGAAGCGTCAAGAATTGCCTCCTGATGTCTTCAGCGACGGTGGGGATGGGGGGGAGTGCCGTCCTTCGTCGAAGCAGGGACCCTTCATGGCTGGCAGTGCGGAGCAGGATGCTGGCGTCTCTCTGGACGGGGCCGAGGCGGCGGCGAAGCGCGAGAGGGTCGGCCCACCACCGCGACGATGCCGCGCGCGGGCACCTCCGCGCCCCGCGCGCGGGGCGCGAAGGGCGGCCCTCGAGCTCCGTCGGACCCGTCCCTCTACAGGAGGGATGTTCAAAAATAGTAAGAAAAAAGTCGGGGCGACCATGTTTTGACCATTGTTGCCCATGTTGAAATCATTTTTGGCCATTTTTGTTTTTCGTAGTCGCCCCCGCCGCCTCTTGGGGAAGAGGCGTCGGCCCTCCTCGGGCCGAGGAAGGCAAGGCTTCATTCCTGCATCGAAGCCCTGGTGGCTTCTCCTGCCGGGGCTCCCATGGGTCACGTGGCTTTCTGCGCCACCTGTGGGTCCATCGGCCATCCTTGGAGCTCCTGGGGTCGACATGCGTTTGCGTCGAATGGTCTGCTGGGGTCCCGTTCCCCTGGCCGCGAGAGGCAATTGGATGGGATTCTGCTTCGCCAGCCTCAGTCCCGCAAGGGATGTCGAGTCGAGGTGGCGGGCTCGCTGTCCATTCTCGCACCTCCCTGGCCTCGAAGTTCGGCCTCGGAGTTGTGCCAAAGCTTGGACCAGACTCTGCTGTTGAGCTGGTCGGTGTCGACCTCATCCGAGGCCTTGCGCTGTCTGGGTGCTCCTCTCGCACACAGGCTGAAGCGCTTGGGCAGCGGGCCCTTGGCAATAAAACGCCCGAGGAGGCTGATCCCTCGGATCATGGTTAACTTCTGTGGTATCTTGAGCTAGTGTGGGTCTCCTCATCGTCGTTCTCCCCCACGTGTTCCCCAAAATACTTCCACAACGGCTGGGGAACACGTCATCCGATATCTTCGCCGAGCTCTGGCAGCAACGTTCGGCCATTTAGGCGCCTCCAAAAGGCAGGGTGCGGCGGTGACTCGCCGCAAGCGTCTTCGATTAAGAACGTAATGTGGACACCGTGAGCATGGCCCGATCGAGGTTCGGCGGTGGACAAGCCTCCCTTTCGTAGACCTCCCCTGAATGAAAACGGCCTGGGCCTTTGTGGGCCCCGGAAACGGCAGGGCCGTTTTTTCACCGTTTCCAAAAACATGTTCCTTGAAAATGGAAACGGCAACAAAAACGGCGACCTGAAACGGCAAAAAAACAGCTCCAAGATTGGAACCAAAGCCGGAACCGGTCAAAAAACGGCGACGGAACCGGTAAGAAAACAGCAAAAGGGCCCTGTCGTTTCCAGGGCCCACTAAGGGACACACCTCCCTTTAGTAGACTTCCCCTCAGTGAAAACGGCCTGGGCCCCTCTCCACTGATCGTCCTTCGCAAGGCCGGCCCTGCAGCCTCTCGGTCCTCGAGCGCAGGGCCAACAGGGCCACCGCCGCGCCAGCAGCGGTTCGGACCCCCCACAGATGGGAGCAGGGGACCCACGGGGGGGAACTCGGTGCGGAGAGCGTGCGCCCTCTCTTAGTCGGGAGCGGCCAAGAGGGGGGTGTCTAAGAGGGGGGGGTGCAAATCATGACCGGCGGCATGTGCGCGGCCCAGCGAGGGAGGGGGCCAGGGACGTCATGATATAGAAGAGGCGCCATGAAATCTGGGGAAATATCATGGCCCCCGCCATGATATCCACTCCCCCTCCCCCCCTAGTCATCACCCCCCTCTTTTCCGCCCCCGACTTCCAACGTGCCGGAGCTACCGAGTGGAGTGTCCTCAGGCCCCTGCGAGTTCTGCGCGTTCGGCAGTCTGAGCACGCCTCTGACGGGCCCGGGGTCCCCAGGGAGGGTGTCTCTCGCATGGATTGTGGGGTGTGCCGCACGACTGCCCTGAGGCCAGAGAGCCCTAAGATGGACAGGGTCCCAGGAGGGCCCCAAGATGGTCCCGCAGGGCTGAACCTAAACGGTGTTTTCCGATTTCGTTATGTTTTCGTTTTCCCTCGCTTTTGTCTCCACTCCGCCTTTGCTGCAAAACGAAGTCGAAACGAAAACGGCCCACGAAGTCACCAAAAGCACCGTTTAGGTCCAGCCCTGTGGTCCTGGCCACGGACCAAGAGCGCTCCAAGACGGGCCAAGATGGCCGCAGGACGGCTCAAGCAGCCCACGAGACGCCGCAAGAGGACCGCTTGGGGGCCCCAAGGCGGCCCCCAGAAGCAGACATCATGGATTTCCTTTTGTATTTGAAAAATTGTCGCGTTCTCGCCTTCTCCTGCTTTTGAAAAACCCACCACATCTTCTGGACATGGTCAACGAGCTCCCATCGACGGCCCAACAGGTCTCCAAGACGGCTCAGGGGGCCCCCGAGATGGCCGAAGACGCCTCAAATAGGGCTCCAAGCGAGGCCCAAGATGGGAAAAAAAGAAAGAGCCTCGGGAGCTGTTCCCGCAGGTATTGCCCTCAAGACCCCATCATGCCCCCAAGAGCCCACCCCCCGCAGAAGCGCCCAACACGCTCCAAGAGGCCCCCAAGAGCCCCCCGAGACGGCCCAAGAGGCTCCCAAGAATGTGTCAAGACGGTCCGAGAGGACCCACGAATGGCCCTGCAAGGAGGGCCCGAGGGGCCTCCGGAGAGATCCAAGACGGCCTTGAAAGCCTCAACGGCCATCGACGGGGCCAAGACGGCGCCACGACGGCCTCAAGACACTCCGCACACGGCCAAGGAGGTTCCCAAGACGGCCCAAGAGGGCTCCAAGAGACCCCGGAGACTGCTACATCATAGCCTGTGACAGCCCCAAAACGGCAGGAGTGAGCTCCATGAGAGCTCCTCGAGACCAAGAGCAGAATGGTGTCACATGTCACGGCCTTCCTCGTCTTCCTCCTCATCCTCCTCCTGCTCCTCCTCCTCCTCCTCCTCCTCCTCCGCATCATCATCAGCAACAGCATCATCATAACAATCATAATCATCATGAGAATCCGCATCATCACCAAAAGCATCCTCAGCATCACCATCAACATCATCATGCATTATCACCGTCAACATCATCAGCACTATCAGCATGAACATTGTCATCACCACCTCAATCAACATCATCAGCATCATCATCACCATCATCAGCATCACCATCATCATAATCATGGTCATCATCACCACAGTCATCATCATCATCATCATAGTCATCATCGTCATCACCATCACCATCACCATCATCATCATAGCCATCATAGTCATCACCATCATCAACAACACCATCATCACAACCACAAGCATCAACACCATCATCACCATCATCATGAACATCACCCTTACAATCATCAACAACACTGGCAGCGTATTAATCGCCACCGTCATCTCGATCATTACAAGAATCGTCATCCTCGTCATTATCGTCATGCTCGTCATGGCCCTCCTCCTCCTCCTCCTCCTCCTCCTCCTCCTATTCGCCATCCTCATCATAGTCGTCACCACCAGGGCCAAAATCATCATCACCATCAGCATCATCAGCATCAACAGCATCATCATCAACACCAGCATCATAATCGTCGTCATCATCGCCACAATCATCACCTTTACCATAATCAGCTCCACCATCCTCATGTTGCACCCTCACTCCTCCTCATCCTCGTTATCATGACTGTCATCACGGACATCAAGCATCCTCACCATCATCAGCATCAGCTTCTTCGTCGTCTTGATATTCCTCAGCGTAGTCATCATACCCATCCCCATCCTCATCCTCTTCCTCATCCTCATCCTCATCCCCGTCCTCATCCTCTTCCTCATCCTCTTCCTCATCCCCATCCTCATCCTCATCCTCCTCACCATTCTCCTCCTCATCATCCGCAGCAAGGCTCACACCAAGCTTGGGGGCACGCGGTGTCACTCCTGTCGGCCGCACGGGCCACCCAGAACAGCCGCCTCACCCAGAGTGCTGGGCTGGCAGGGTGGCGGGACTTGCCGCGGGCAGCTGGATGCAATGAGCCCACGGCGTGCAGATGAGGCCAACGAGAATGGGAATCAAGACTTGATCGATAACCACGGGTCTGGAAGATCACGAGCGGGAAGCGTATCCATATCCACGCCCTCGCGGTCTGGATTCTGGGTCGCGATCCCGTGGACACGCGGCCGCATGGATACGTTTCGCGCGGGGCATCTGCGAAGCAACGCCCCGTATCCACGGGACCGTGGCCCCAAGGCCCAGCATGCGAGGCCCGGGACACGGATATGTCTTCCGCCCGCGACTGCAGGACGCGACCGATAGGGAGCCCACCCAAGACGTACGCGCCCAACCACGTACATGACTACGGCCCACCAGTCCGCGAGACCAGCCTCGTGATGCGAACGCTCGCGTAATACGCACAAAGAAAATCATCGTGTATTTATTTACGTGTACGTCCTTCTTTTGCGAGCAAGGCTTGCATCCACATCCACTGCAGCTTGGAACGTCGGGCCTCCGTCCCCAGAAACCTGAAGGCGCACCGGACATGGGCAAGCAAATCTGGCCCCCGGAGGCTCGATTTCCATCCACACTCATCTCGCCTCGGCCCTTTGGCGCCCCTTCCAAGGAACTCCAGGACGCACTTGACATGGCTGTCGCTCCTGCACCATGATGATGATGACGAGGAGGAGGAGGAGGAGGAGGAGGAGGGAGGAGGAGGGGGGAGGAGGAGGGAAGAGGAGGAGGAGGAGAGAGGAGGAGGAGGAGGAGGAGGAGGAGGAGGAGGAGAGAGGAGGAGGAGGGGAGGAGGAGGAGGAGGGAGGAGAGGGAGGAGGAGGGAGAGAGGAGGGGGGAGAGGAGAGGAGGAGGAGAGGAGGAGGGGAGGAGGAGGAGGAGGAGGAGAAGGACAGGGAGGAGGAGGAGGAGTAGGAGGCACCGCCCCCCCCCCCAGAAGCTCGAGGGCGCCCGCCCAGGTCGGGCGTCCTCTGCACGTTCATCGACAGGTGCGGCAGCGCCAGCAGCGGCAGCAGCTGGGCCTCGGCCCGCGCGCCGCGGGACGCGCGCCCCCCAAGACGGACAACGAGGACAACGTAAAGCCTCCCGAGGCCCCCAAGAGGCCTAAAGATGCCCCCAAGTATGCCTCCAGGAGGCTCCCAGGAAGCTCTCCCAGGAGGCCCCCAAGAGTGGCCCAAGAGGGCTACCAAGAAGCCCCCCCCCTCCTCCTCCTCCTCCTCCTCCTCCTCCTCCTCATCCTCCTGCCCCTCGTCCTCCCTCTCCTCCTCCTCCTCATCCTCCTCCTCCTCCTCCTCCTCCTCCTCCTCCTCCTCCTCCTCCTCCTCCTCCTCCTCCTCGCCTCCTCCTCCAGCGAGCGCGTTCCGCGGGCGGGCGCGCTGCGCTGCGCCGGGGGGGGGGCGCCGCCAGGGAAGCCCGACCCGAGAGATCCGCGCGGGGCCACGACCGTTTACACTCGGGCTCGGGCTCCGCTGGGGGGGACGCGCGAGAGGGCACGAGACCCTTCCGAGGGCCACATTGCTCGGGTCGGGGGGAAGGGGGGGATAGCAAAGGGGGGGTTTGAGAATCAGCTCACGTAGCTGATTTTCCCGGCGCCTCCCGGCGCCCCCCCAGCGCCATGTATCGAGGAATGGGCCCCTCGGTGAGGCCGAAACCAGCTGCCTGCAGCAAATTTCGTACCCCCCCTTTCCCAATCCCCCCCTTTCGCCCGGCCCGAATTGCAGCGGGAGTGCAGGGAGCATGGGTCGCGGGACACAGGACGCGAGGGTAGCCCTGATCTGGCAGGGTCGACCTGGGGCGACTGCACGCGCACGCGGCTCCGTGTTCCAGGGCGCGAGCGGTGCTCTTCGTTTTTTCGTGCCGCTGTCGGTTGCCCTCGTTCTGCCCTCGCTCTGCCCTGGCTGCGAGGCGAACTCCAGACCAGCACGGTCCACGAAATCGCTAAAAACATACGGCAGGTTCGTGTCGTGCCGACCCCAGCGTTGGTTTTTGACACCGCAGGGATCGTTCAACCTTGAACGATCGGCCGCTGCCGCAACGTCCGATCGTTCAACATCGACCGATTCTGGGTCGCCAGCGGCGTTCAACCTTGAACGCCCGCGCTGGGGTCGCCGCTGGTCGACACGACGCAAACCTACCGTAGTTCAGCTCGAGCCCCGCTGTGTTCCTCGATGCCCGAGAGGAGCGAGGGAGCCCTGCGGTGCAGAACGATGGCGTCGCAGTGGTACTTCGGCAGTGCACGGTGCAGCGGCTGACGAACTCGGCCCTGTCGCGTGCGCCAGCGCCTTGTTCTGTTCAGGCGGGGGCCTGCGAGCCCGTATCGTTGTAGGCAGCGGAGCCAAGTGAGCGTCGCTGGACGCGCCAAAGAGCAGCCTGAAACAAGCAGAGGCACGAATTAACATCGACACTTGCGCCAACGCCAGCTCCAGTGGTATCACGAAAGGGTCTCGTCTGGCGAGGTGATCGACGTGGTCGCCGTGGTCGCCACGGTCCTCATGGTCGTTGTTGTGGCTGCACGTTCCCGACGGAGCCTTGGCAGGCCTGGAAGGTCTGTAACGTATGGCACGGTTCCACTTCGGCTCCCTCCAGGCTCCAGGGCAGCCAGGTGCCCCAGGTATCTCCTCCTGTACTGCAGAAGCGTCTTCGCACTCAAGCACGACTCCAGGAAGCAAGTCCCATCGCTGGCCCGTCCCTGCAAGACCATTGGAATTCAGAAATTGCCCGAAGTGGCTGGAGAGTGCAAGAACGCAAGGGTAGAAAAGGCATTCCGCCAGTGACCAATATTTTGACCGCACGCTACTCCTGTGCCCACCGAAGCTTTGGGTGGATGGGGTGCGCACATGTTACGCTGAGTCTTCGGGAAACCATATCTGTCTTATCGCGCCGCTGTCTGCGTCAAACCCACTCCAGACCCACGTCCAGAATCGAGTCCGCGCCGCATCTGCGTCGAACCCGTCGCGTCAGCTTCGAAACCGCGTCGGAACAACGTCGGGCCGGAGAAACGAACACCATCCACACGACAGACAAGGTCCCCCGAAGATGCAACATAACCGACACCGAGCTTCTGAAACACTACTCCAGATTTCGTAATAAAAGGGAGGGGGTCTGGACCCTCCAAGACAAGCCATTTCAGACCCCCCCTCGTGGGAGAACCCTCCAAAACATCGTCCCCAGAACCCCCCCAGGCCCTCCAAGATAGCCTGGAGGAGACCCCCCCCCGAAATGAGACCCCCCTCCTTTTATTACGAAATCTGGAGTAACCGGCACCGAGCTTCCGAAACACTAACCCATAGCGATCAGCTTGCACCCACGAGCCAAGCACCGGCGATCTCTCCGTCTGAGCGCCCAGCCTCCGACTCGCCGGCGGAGCTGATGGCGAGGAGGTAGGAGCCCTCCACCTTCAGGACGCGCTGAACCTTGTGAACATAGGGGGAAAACAAACCGACCTCGCTTTTGACCACCCTCGCTTCCAAGAGATACCAAACGATGCCAAATTGCGGCAAGAACTGGTCAGGCCGCTTGACGAGGAGGCGCGTGGTATGGCTTGGTTTTGCCTGGAAGCGAAAGCGGGGTAGGTAATTCACGCTCTGTGAACGACTGGCACAGAAGGAAAAGGCGAACAATTCCACCAGCCCTCTGGAAATGGGCGTTTTGTTCGACTTCGTTCTTCCAACCCCTTCGTTCCTCCTCGAGGGGGGGGGGGCTGCCCTGGGTCTGGAGTCGGGCGCCGCTGGGTGTCAGACGGTCACAGTTGGATCAGAACGGCTCACAGGGGGGCCTCGGATTGCCCAAGGGCGCCTCCATACTGGCCAAAATGTATAACCCACAATGGCTCCCAGGAGCCCCCAACAAGCCCCCAAAAGGCCTCAAGACAGGCCCAAGATGACCCTCCGTGTCCTCGGAACCTCCTCCCCCCCCCCCTGGACAAAACCAAAACAACTCTGAAGCCAAGAAGGATGCGCAGACTGCGCGGTGCAAACTGTGCGGTGCAGGCTGCGTCTCGCAGACCGCGTGGTGCAAAAGTCGGTGGTGCGAGCGGTGTGATCCAATCTTTGTGGAAAAAACAAAACATTTCTAAAACCAAGAAGGATGCGCAGACTGCGCGGGGCAAACTGTGCGGTGCGAGCTGCGTCTCGCAGACCGCGTGGTGCCACAGTCGGTGGTGCGGCGAGCGGCGTGGTCCAGGCTGCGCGGTGCGCAGAGGCTGCAATGGGCGCCCCCGCCCACGGGGCGCCGAAGGCCGGGCGCCCGACGACACCTCGGTACCCATCGGTCGGAAGAGGAAGAAGTAGGTAGAAACATGAAGTATAGTCGGACTCGATTCGGGGATGGACCCATGAGCCTCGAGTAGTAGCACCTCGATGGACTCACGTCGAATTTCGAACCTCGAGCCTCGAGTAGCAGCAGAACCATGAAGTGTACAGTCGGGGTCTTGACCTAAGGAACCCAAAAGAAGGAACGAGGCCCCTTTTTCCCATAAGTGAACCGTCGCTTTCCTCTCGAGAACCTAAGGACAACAAAAAGGCGAACTGCAGAACAATCAAGGAACACCGAGCCCCTCCCCAACGAGAAGGGCTCCTTCTTCAGGGCCCCGACTGTACAGTCGGATACGGTTCGGGGATGGACAGACCCCCCTTTAGCAAAACGCGGTTTCGTGAAAACGACACGAGGCCCAAACCTGGCGGGCGCAAGCCTGGAAAATAGCGGCCCCGGCGCCCTCTCGAGAACCGAACACGGACAACTCACTCATCGACGTGTCACTGTCAGGGGTTCTGCCCACCCCCGATCGATTGGAGAGGACGCGCGGGAGGACACAAGACCCTTCCCGAGGGGCACACACCGCCACAGGACTGCAGGAGGCACGGGCAGCGACACATGGGACACGAGGGTACCCTTGATCTGGCAGGGTCCACCCACTGATCCGGGGGCCGCCTGCAGATCGGGTCCCGTCCGCCCTCTCGGGAGCACGGACAAGGAGAGGCCACTCGACCACGGAAAGCAGGAGGGCGCTGGAAGCAGATTGGGATCTGGGAGCCCAGCAATTCGGCGGTGGACAAACCTCCCTTCAGCAAACCTCCCCTCAACGAAAACGGCCCGGGACCGAAACCGGCGGACCCGGACCCGCAACAATGAGGGCCGCGACGCCCTCTCGCGAGCCGCAGACGGCCAATTCGCCAATCGACGTGTCAGGGCAGGAGGTCCGTCCACCCCCGAGCTGGACGCAGCCTGGGATCTGGGAGCCCAGAGAGATGCCATCGCTCGACGACCGATGGGCATGCCCCCCCCCCCCCCCAAAGGCGGGCGCGGCGCGCCCGCGGGCGGGCACTTGTTGTTTTTGTTGAAGGTGCTTTTGGGGGCTGCTTTGGGAGGTACTCGTTGGGCTCGGTGGGTACTTCTATTCCTACTCCGAAACCTATTGTCGGGGCGTTGACCTAAGCAACCCTAAATAAGGAACGAGGCCCCTCTTTTCTAGAAGTGAAACTCCGAATTCCCATCGAAGACATAAGGAAAACCTGATGCAAGCTGTGAAACAATGAAGGAACACGGAGCCCCTCCCCAACGAAAAGGGTTCCTTCCTCAGCGCCCCGACTGTACTTTGGGAGGTACTTTGGCCTTTCTGTCGGGGATGGACAGACCCCCCTTTAGTAAAACGTGGTTTACTGAAAACGACCTGAGGCCCAAACCTGGCGTGCGCAAGCGTGCAAAATAACGGCCACGGCGCCCTATCGAGAACCGAAAACGGACAATTCACTAATCGACGTGTCACTGTTGGGGGTTCTGTCCACCCCCGATTCTGGGGGACCTGTGCCCGTAGCAGGCACTGCCTTTCATAGCAGGGGAAAGGCCTCGGCAATGCGCCCCTTGAGCGCGCGGGCGCCCGGGAGGCGCCCGGCGGGCACCCGCGAGCGCGCAGCGGCCGGACGCCCAGGAGAGGGCCGAACCTGAGCGGTGTGTGTTGCGTTCTCGTTTTGCTCTCGCTGTCGCTCGTGTTGTGTCTTCAGTCCGCCTTCCGCGCAAAAAACGGGGAGACGTAAGACTCGGGTACGGGGGACTCGGGTTGGCCTGACTGGGCCACCATAAAAATGACGAGACCCAATCTGAAATTTGACGCGAGCTCCCGCAGCAGACATCCAACGAAAACTGGACCGTCGAAATCCAGGACGCGCTCGTCAAAAAATTCGGCAAACCCGAGTTCCGACTTACTCGAGTCTTACGCTTCCCCGAAAAAGGAGATCGAAACGGTAGCGGCCCACGGAATCGCCAAAACACCGTTCAGGCCAACCCCTGGCCCAGAAAACCGAAGCGGTTGTTTCGAGCAAACCAAACAGGGACCACTGCAATTGCCGCTTGGGGAAGTGAGGCGAACCAAGTCTTTAAGATAAGCCAGGTCCTTAAGCAAGCCAGGTCTTTCAGCAGCAACCCGTTCGCTGAGTTAAGGAACCAGTTCTTTAAGCAAACCAAGATTTTCTAAATGCAATTGCCGTTTTGGGAGTGAACTGCGCCTTCTCGCAATTTCGCTTCCGAGGCGCCGTCGGGGTCTCAGGTTGGCCAAAACAAATCGCCCCAGAGAGCCCAACCAGAGAGGAGCCCACGGCGGCTCCAGGATGGCCCCAAGAGTGCCCGAAGAGCGCCTCAATCTGCGATTCGTTGGGGGACTCCGGCGGGGGAACTGTCATTGACGCCGCCCCCTTGTTGGACTTGTGACCTCCTCCGCGACGCCGACGACGACGACGACATCGGGAGAGACGAGCGCGACGACGGCAGCCTGGGCGACGACGCACAAGGGCGGTGGCGGCAGCGGCAGCGCAACGGCAACGACGGCGGTGGAGGCGACGGCGGCGACGTTGGCGGCCTCCGAGGATCCCCGAGGGCATGCGAAGGCCTCCGATGGCCGCCGAAGGCGCGGAGCGGCGACGAAGAACGAAGACCACGACGACGACGACCACGACGTCGACGACGACGACCACGACCACGACCACGACGACGACGACGACGACAACCACCACAGCGGCGGCCACGACGAAGACGACGGCGGCAGCGACGGAGGCGGCGATACCAAGGGGCTGGCAGAGCGGCACCTCGCCGAGGGCCTGCATCGCGCTGGTGAACGGCGCGGGCAGCGCCAGGATCTGGCGACGCACGGCGCGGGCGAGGCCCCCGGCGAGCCCCGGCGAGCGTCCGGCAGGCACACGCGGCAGCCCTCGGAGGCCCACGAAGGCCCTCGGAGGCCCTCGGCCGCCCTGGGAGACTCTCGGATGCCCCCTGGAAGCACCCGTGTGCTCTCATGGGCCCTCGGAGACCGCCATCGCCGTCGTCGATGACGTCCTCGCCAGTGCAGAAGCAGGCGCCGAGCGCAGCGGATGGAGAGCAGCCGCCGGTCCGTGTCCCGAGAAGGGGCATCCCTCCTCCCAGTCCCTCTTCCTGCTTCTGCCCGTCCTCCTCGGTTGCCACTCCTGCACCTCCTCGACCCTACTCCCGTTCCTACTCCACGCCCTCCTCAGAAGAGCCCCATAGAAAATACAGCGACCCACACAAAAACAAGAGCACCCCCAAGAACACATCGAGCATCCTCCTACTGGCCTGTTCCTCCTCACGAATTTGATGGCTTTTCTTCCTCACGTCAAGTCGGGCGTGTCCCTCTGCAGGAGGAATATTCCAAGGTAGTCAAACATAGTCTGGGGACGATGCTTCGATTACTGTTAGACTAGTTTGGAGTATGTTTGATTTTTCCTCCAGAATCCGCCTGTAGGGGGACACGCCCAACTTAATCCTCACGCCGCTTCCTCCCTCCTCCTGCCAGAATTTTAAGTCGGCCTGTCCTCCTACAGGGGGGTTTGGATCGACAAACAAAACAGGCCCAACAGCTGCTCCAACATGTCAAAAAAATGGCCCCCAGAATGTGTTGACTATGTTTGGAATATTTCTTCTGTAGAGGGATAGGCCCGACTTAGTGCCAGAATTCTGACGCGAAGCCAGCTGGGGCGACGGGGGCGTCCCCGGGAGGCCACACGCAGGCCCGCCCGCACGCCCGCGAGCCTGCGAACGTCGACCCCCGAGGCTCCCATTTTTCGCTGGGCCGATGTTCCACCACCACTACGACATTTAGGAGAGGGAGGAGGAAAAGGAGGAGAATGAGGAGGAGGAGGAGGAGGAGGCGGATGAGGAGGGGGAGGAGGAGAGGGAGGAGGAGGAGGAGGAGGAGGAGGAGGAGGAGGAGGAGGAGGAGGAGGAGGAGGAGAAGGAGGAGGAGGAGGAGGAGGAGGAGCAGGAGGACCTCCCCGTCCTCCCGTCTCCCCCGTCCTGCCTATGGTTTGGCGGTGGACAAACCTTCCTTCAGTAAACCTCCCCTCAGTGAAATCTGCCTGGGACCGAAACCGACGGACCTGGACCCGCAGAAATGACGGCCGCGACGCCCTCTCGCGAACCGAAAACGGCCAATCCACTAATCGACGT